CACAAGCCCCTCCTGGAAATCAATGTTCACATAACAAAACCTTTCACAAGTTACCACCAATTCTCAGCCATATTAAAGATTGAATGTTGAAAACTCTAAAGAAAGAAAGAGGGTAAGGGTCAGAAGTTCAGTTGTAGTCCAGCACTCACCCATTGTGCCAGAGGCATCACCGCCACCATAGAAAGTAGCATGTGCATTCTGCCAGCTGCCATATTCTCCAGCAATTCCATGCAAGTTTAAGCTAATAAACAGGAAAATAGAGAGAAGCATAGCTGAGGAAAATATCTGAGCAATCCTGTTTAACTAATAATTAGTAATGCTACAGAAAAGATCAAGATCTGGGCTGTCGGATGATGGAAAGGTGGGGAATATGATTTGCTTTGTGTTGTGCGTACAAGAGCTTAGGAAGAGGATTTGTATTTATAGGCGTAGAGTGCGGAGCAGTGCCAGCAATGGCAACAGCTAGGTGGGGTCAGGAACAGGGGCCCGCCAGAGCCACGAATGGACTTGAGGAAATCGGGAGAGCACATGCATACAACCGTGGGCCACACACCCTCCCTCCACAGCCCACAATCCACATGCATCAATCTTTGAACTGTATCTTTTCAAGTTAATAGAATTACTGCGGTAAAGTTCCAGGTTGCTAATTTGATGTTCTGTTCCTGTTTAATAATCAAATCTGCAGTTTTCTCAGTCTCAGTTGTGGACAAGTAGGGCGTTATATGTCTCTGTTTGAGAGCATAAACTGAAGTTGCTCCCCACTTTCAAATGGGGGATGGTCCTTAACAGACAAAAATAGGATAAGGATCTCGATCTGCACATGCATGAAAATCTTCATTAAGCAATTATCCTCCGCCATCTTACCTAATTTTCTACTTGAATAAATGAGCAGGGTTCATTTGATTCCCTCATCAAAACTTGATTGAAATCGAACATTTGCTAAACTGGGTTTTTGAAAGCCAACGTTGACGGGGCAGACAAGCAAGCGGTATGTCCAGTTCTGTTGGAGGGAGGTTGGCTCACATTCACGTGTAGCAGCCGACAATTAAATAGTTTAAGGCGCTGATATGTTCACGCATTTCTTGTATATACTTTGCAACATCACAAGAGTTTGTTCAGTACACAAAATATCTTGTACTGCTGCTACTACGTTAGTTATTTCAATCTGGTCATGGTTGTTGAATTAATGTAATTGATTTATTGAACCGACACGGAAGAAAAATGGAACCAAATTAATTCCATTGATCTTAATTGAGAGTATATATTAAGAAATGGATATTTAATATATATACACTTGAATAATTAAATATAAACAAGTGGAATGAAAATGCAAGCAAATTTGGTGAAATTGAGCTAGGTCCTACCATGTTGGGACCACACGAAGTTCCCGGCTTGAATTACGGCCCCTTCAGTCTTCCTTAGAATAAGGGCACATCAGTCAATTTCGGAGAGTAATCAAAGCATGGGAATAAGTTGATATGAAGAGACAAATGGAAAGAATATGATGTGGCTACCCTTTTCTCTTTTACAGAAAGGCTGAACCTTCGAGTTAATATCCTTCCTGCCCCACTCCAGGTATGTGTTGTTTCCCCATTTTTCAAAGCTACAAATCGTTGCTTTCCAGAAAGCAATACATCTATGGGTTTTTGGCCACTCTTAAAGAGTAAGAGTTTGGCTGTATATATGCTTCATCTTCAGTCACTTTAGAAAAAGGTTTTATCAAATACTTTGACAACATCTAAATATGTTGGTAACACACACAAACTTTGCTATTATGACAACATTAACTAGTTTTAGACATCCAATACATTCAATTGATGTATAATAACTAATGCGAAATCCAATTAATGGTCAAAAACCACATTTCAATGAAACGTGAATAAATGTATTATTCCACTATTTTTGGTCTGTCACCGACTCTGCATTCCCTCTTGTGGGCAGCAGATTAAATGAACCCCACTTCCCAGCTCCAAACATGGAAACAAAAATCATTGTTACTCTCTTGCTCTAATTCGTCTATTATTTTATGCTACAGCAATGATTAACAAAGGATTGGATAGTACTTTGATGACGCCCTAAAGGCTTTAACGTCTTTGATGACCTGCACACAGTCAGTTTGGCTTTCCGCTTCTTTTAGGTCTGCGTTGCATCCCCAGACACGAACAGCAAGTCTTCGACACTTCGGAGAAGATTGTTGCAAGTACATTTTATACCAGTTCACGACGTCTACCTTCTGGATGCTTCGGAGTTCCATTGCTTCCCGCTTCGGCAAGTCAAACATGTACCTGAAAGTTAACAACAGATCCATCACAAGAAGAAAGTTAACCACAGATAGCATGGAGGAAGAACATCAGTACAGCACAAAGCTCTGAATATCTAACAGCAGCTGTCTTCCAGACAGAAACATATGGGATTCTTTTCCGATTATGAAATAAATAATATTTCCAACTCAAGAAATCAAAAGCAAGAAACATCACCAAAACACGGTGATGAGAATGGCCCAATGTAGAGCCATCATGGACTGACATGAGCGGCACTTCTCACCTCAAGGCTGCTTTATAGTTTGTTGTAACACCATAAACAGCATATTTCTACCACATCAACTTCTACTTATTGCTTAGATGTACAATTTTGAAGTCCGCACTATCACTAACAATTGGAAATTACATATAAAACAACCAAAATTGTATATAGATGGTACCTATCATCAACAATCTGATCCCAAAAGCGACTGGTTTCATATAAGAGGGATGGATCTTTCTCCAGCAGCTTCGCTGTTAAGCCACTCCTATAACTCTCAAATGACTCATCATCAAGCCCTTCCTGCATTTGCAAATTTAAAAAATAAATAACTAAAACACACCCACGCACAGCATTTTGATTAAATAATAATAATACAACTACAGTTAAGCATGCAAAAGAAAGTGCTGTAGATTCTTGATAGGCTATAAAAGACAAGCAACTGAACAGAGCAGCATACAATATAACTGACTTAAAAACTCACCAACAACTCTTCCAAGCCATTTATGAAGTTGACTGTTCTCTCCTGCAAGTAAACTGGGCTATATTTGGAAGATTGAATGCAGAAACAAAAGCCATAAACACGATATGTCACTCGTGGACCACATTGAACAACATAACCAAGTTGCTCCTTTGTCCTATATTCCAAATCAAATAAAGAATTAGAGAACTCATTTTAATTACTCAATTTATGGCATTGCCCACAAAAATAAAGGCACAAAATATGAACACGGCATCCAATCATTCAATTCATGCACACACACATCCCTACAAACACATGTCCACCAATGCTTGCAAACATGAATACAGACAGATATAGTACATAACTAGTGCAATCTGGACACGTACAGATCTCATACAAAACATGAGTGCGGCCTTCAGAGAATCAAGAGAACTTTTCTTTATGGCCAGTTAAAGGATTAAGTGAATGATTATTTCAATCAATCACTTGAGGGAAAATTCACTTAATTTGCCTGTCTTTTGGGTGCTTTTGTGCTTGAAATATCTCCTAAGACAAGCTTGCAATATAAAGATCATAGATTGGTACAATTTCAAACTTTCAGACTTAGAAAAGATCACCTTAGCTGATTAAAATGTGGTTCTTCCACAATTTCATCAAAAAGATCTATCAAGGCCTTCAGTTTTACTGCTTCCACCCCTACTTCTGGCTCAATTTGGAAATAAAGCTTCAACGCAAAACCAAATAATGTAATCAATAACAGCATAAAAACATTACTAGAAAAAGAGAATATTTAGCTGATATTTCATAGAGAATTGGACCATCATCAGTTACCTCAAGCACTGAGTTTGTTTCAGACTTGTTCTTTACACTGACATCTCTCACAAAGTTGGCACTAGAGGGAAAACATATCACTTCCTCTCTATGCCTCATTGTGACTGGCATCGGTTGTACAGAAAAGTTGCTTTTAAAGATATTTGATATGTCAAGTACTTCTTTTTCTAACAAATTACCATGGCAAAGGCCCTCAATATATATCTGTACAACATAAGCAGTTAGAAATATAACTAACTGGGATAAATGCCCATTAAGAAGTAAAGAGAAGAGAAACAACCAGAAAAAGAACCCAACAATTATATTAATTGATTGATGTCCCTAGCAACTGTATGATGAGATATCAAGAAATAGTACTGAAAGAAGCAGATTTTGGAATCCATCACTGTGATTCCACAATAATACATCACAGGTGAGTCTTCCTTCAATTATATAATTATGTTTTTCTTTGAAATTCCATTCTCATACCTATCATAAAAGAATAGTATGTTATATATATTTATTTTTCAAGCTACGAATAGATAAGGATATCCCTAACTCTTCTTTGGACAATCACTTCCAAGTTTCAAGGGTAATTTAAGTGTACATAAATGATGCGAAATAAGGACGTTAACAATACTTTATCCAATCTTGAAGTGTTATGATCAACTACAAGAAGGTTCAACAGGATTAAATCGCATGCAATCTGCACATGTCCAGTAACGCAGACACTGATGGAAGAAAACAATTTTTCAAACCCAGATGCCATGTTTTCGTGTTACCTGGGATTGGAGCTCAGGAATAAAGGCCTTCAAATCAGATAGAGAAAGGTCTTTTAGAAAAGCAAGCTTTTCATCAACATCATAGAACCTCTTGCATAAAATCTGCATTCTCAAGTAGGATGAATGACTGAGAGGCTTCATGTTGGCATTTTTCAAAGTTTTCTCTCTATTCTCCTTAATAACCTGTCAGATGCAGTGTCACTTTATCAGACACACCAAATACCTCAAGAAACTATAAGACTAATTCAATCTTTGCGTGTGTCTGTTGATTGTCAGGTGGTAAGCTAATTGTAGAATTAATTGATAACAACTGTCATCTAGAGTGTAAACAAATAAATTAATTTACAGTCAATCTTTAAAGTGCCAATCTTAATCAAACTGCGGCTTCCTCAGTTTGCACTTGCTCTTTCCCCAAACACTGACACCCATATTACATGTACATCGAGCACCACGCAATTTGAGGACAGGCAAAGAAAAGGGAAGAAAACATGCTAAATTGTATGTACCTTAAAACGATCAATGGTTGGTAAAAAAGAGTTTGCGATTGCCTAAACCTTGTTTGGGGGGGCAAAAAACTGTGCAAAAAGAAAACAGGGGCAGTTATCATTGAAACCATAAAGCTTTAGCTCTAACTTGTCACTGCACATTGCCACTGAAGTTTCCAGCTTGGCAACACTGGCCTGCAAATAAAATTCCACTCAGGTTCAGATTTTAATAACATATGAAAGGACAAACTAATGAACGTAAGGTTAGAAACATAATCAAACAATGATGACAATTGTTAAGAAACTAGCTAAATGAAGCGGAGGGGGGGCGGGGGGGTGGGGGTGGGGGGGGTTAAAGAGATTGTTAATGAGACATTACTTGTCAACTGACATAGCTTAGGCAGGTAAGTAAGAGCTTTATCAGCACAAATTACTTGTTAAATTGGTGCTTCAAAGGCTGCTTAAAGCAAAATCGCAAAGGTTTCAACTTTACTATTGACTACCATTAATGATTTTATAGTATTTACTCAAATTCAGAGATCTAAAAGCATGAGTATTTGTTGTTATGAGATATTCTTTCGAACTATAAAATATAATTAAATTTCCTGTTTAAGAAATCGAACGGTAAACAATAAACTAAGAGTATGAGTCAACTGTCAACTGAGTCAATGGTCAACAAGAAACTAAAAGTATGAGCCAAGCCCATGCCATAAGGCCAGAAAAATCTTCACTAAAACAAGAATTCATGATTACGAAGTTTAAGAACAAGAAAACTTTTAAGGTTCCATTAAACAAGTTTTGCATAAAAGACAAGATCAATCGCTAACAGAAAGGTTCAAAATGATAAATGATAAGAAATTAACCTGATATATAATCTCATTCAGCTCATCCTTAAGAAGGTGAATATAAAGTTCAGTCAACAAACAACTCTTCAGGTTAAGGTATGCTCCTTTCAGATTGATCCGAAAATATGTATTTGCACGAGGAAGTTTGAAAGTACTATCAAGCTTATACCAGAACTTCATCAATGGTTCATCAAAAATGCAAACAGGCAATGATTCGTTCGCAGGATCAATTTGCATATTATCAGCTCGAATGGAGAAATCACACGGAATAAACTCATTCTTCAAAGGCAGATGCAATGAAACATCAATATCTGGGGGGTCTCTCCATAATTCCATCAAAGATGGAGAAATTTCTTCCTCAGCATAATGTGATCCAAACCAAGGCTCATACTTGACATCTGCAACAAGAGAGAGTTTAGGCAGCTCAGTTGCTTTCCTATAATTGTAATTGTCAATATTACAGGTATAGAACAAATGATGCACATTTTAGTTAAAGCAGAATCATCATAACTAAAGAAACACACTAATGGTGGAAATCTACAATGTAAAAGGAACAATGGAACCAAAACCATCTGTAACTTCTAATTGCAAAAGAAAGAAAAGCCTTGATAGCATCAAGTTAATTCATTTGTCTGAGACTCTTAACATAAAAACATACATAATCTTATATTTGACATAGAGAGAAAAAAAATTAAGATAAAATAGAACAGAACAGGGCAATGATTGAAAATTGGAGTTAAAAAGGTACCTTGTGACTTAAAGGACTTGGTTACTACATCAATTCTCATGTTTTCGGGAGTGAAGAAACCTAGAATCTTTCTTATCATTTCCTCATCCCAAAACTCAAAGACATAGTCTCCATAAATGACATGCTCTGCTGGATAAACAAGTAAATTTTCTGCAACAAAGAAACACTGGGAATAGTTTGATAGTGAAAACGCAGAATCATTGCAAAGAAACTCCAGGAAAACCATCAAAATACAAGATTTTAGCATTACCCAACAAATAGCTTTCTTTTTCACATATACCCAAATGATGTGAGCAGGATTCCCATAATTTCTGACAATGATCAAAAATAATAATTTTGTATTTGCTAACATGTGTTGCTTTAGCAATTACGGGGATTTCCCAAAGGCTACCTATCAATCCTAAGCTCTCAAATTTTTCTAGGGATAAAACAATCCCACAACCCAACCAGCAACGCATAGACACTGGTTGTCAGAAACCATATAAGTGCGAGTTGTTTAACATACACCAGGCATATTAAATACGCAATAAATTTCAAGGCATATAACCAGCATATCAACTATTGTCCACCTTCAATTAACAACCAAAATAAAGCTTCAAGGTCAATTGAAAGTATAGAACAGGTAGGCAATCAAGAATTCAAGACAAACCAATGACAGTAATATAAGCAAATTAGTTATATCATAATTTTTCAACGTATTCAAGTTAAAATTTCAAAAAAGAAAAGGAAAACAACCTGCAAGTTCTGAAGCATAGTCATCCTGAGGTTGTTCCTCAGCAAACCGAAACTCCAAATTTCCCATATCCTGCAGTTCTTTAAATATCCATTCTTGGGGAGAAAGTCGACGCAATAATTTAAGGTATTGGTAAACATAACCAATAGTGTCAAATATCTGAGGAAAAAAAGAGAAGAGATAGTTAATAATTCTGGCTAAAAAACCATCAAATCCATGAAGCAACTTCAAATAATAAAAGCACATCAAATATAGAAACACAAACACAGAAACAATCACAGTAGTAGAAAAACTGATTAGGCAAAGGTCATCACTAGTATAAGTTATTAAAAGCTCGAGGTAGCAGTAACAGCAACAGAATGGGAAGATACAGTGAAGCAACACCCTCCTTGGAATTCAAATTTCCTATAATGCACATTCCACACGAAACTAGATGCAACACCAGATAAAATTGAAAACATTACAGAAGAACTGAGTGTTATTTTCTACAGCTTGTTATATGCATAGAAGATGAAACAAGATGTACTACCTTTTCCAAACCAGAGTCTGTAAGATGGATGGACATGCTAAAGATATAAGCTACTGAAGATCGCTGCATCCCATCATCCACACCAGCAGATAGAGAGGTTGCCCATCCTTTAGCTTTGAGAAAGTAATGCAGGCTTCCTTTGCCCTCTGAAAAATGTAAAAAAAAAAAAAAGGGAAAAGTTTATTACTTTTCAGCTTTAGAACACATGGCCAGCCATGTAAATTCGTCATAATTTCAGCAGCATAAAAAAGTGTAAGTGAATTATTCAACAATAAAGAGAGAAAAGCGGGAAAAACGAAAAGAAATTCAAGGAATAAACAGGGAATTTGCGGCCAATGAGAAACACTATTTATAGTACAAAGACCATAGTCAGGTATCAGGAATCACTTATTACACATCAAACATCAGAAATTTTTCCATTCTCTTCGTGTATGATGAGCACAACCCAATGCACAAATATGCATCCTTTCTTTTTATTATTATTATTTCCATGAGCAGCCTCCTAGTTAAGCAATAAGATAATGCAGAATTATATTACCATGCCCAAGAAGATGAGCCAAATAATCTTCCGGTTTCTTCAGATACTCTTGCAAAAGACAAGGCAGTGTCCACCGTAATTCAAGGATATGAACATCCTTAACTGCCTGTAACCTGTAAAGTTTACCAGCTTTCCAGACAGGACCTTCCACCGTAAACTCTGGCCTTCCTAGAGAGCCTTGTCTGACATCCGAAAACAATTCGACAACCCATTGCTGAAGTAAATCCAAAGGCTCTACATCATTAACAAGTATCATCATCATCAATATACTATAAAAAAATGCAAACACAGATTTTAGGTATAAATGCCATCATAATTTCTTCCAACTGCCACATAAATAATCACTGCTGAACTTCCTTAAAAAAGTTAGAATTAATGTTTGGATAGGTTATAAACTTAAAGCATAAGGTAAAATATTGGCTATATAAACAAGTTAAAAGGGCCAAGAAAAATTAAACAAAATTTTGAGTAAAAAAAAGAAAGAGGCAGGAGTTTGGTAAAAGAATATCAGTGAAAATAAATGAAGTCCCAAGTTAGGAATTGTTTCCAGCAGAGAGAGAGAGAAACTCTAACCAGTGGCCACAAATCTAGAGAATCACATAACTTACCACCACCAATTACCACTAACTTCATCAGTCCACCATGGTAATAATCTTTGTACAATTCTAGTATTTGTTTGCGTAGATCAATCCCTTTCTCAACAGCATCGACCAGACTCTTCTTGTTCCCTTCCATTTAAGAAAAAGAAAATACTCATTTTCATCCCAACAGCGTAAACAAATCAATCAAAGAGAGAATACCAAAGGTGGGAGTCTCACCGCAGGAGAATGTGTTAAAAGGGTGGCCATGTTCAGATGTATGGCACTGCAGTTGCTGAAGGCGGCAACTATCATTTTGCAAAACCTGGTTAAATTCTACAATCCAATTTTGGTTTAAATTACAGTTCCATTCAGAAATCATAAATATACCATTAGCACGTGCAATAAAAAGTATAAACTAAGGGCAACAGAAAATGGAGCTTTATAAAAAATTGGAGAAACAAACAAAAAGAAAAGAGATTGGGGGGTGGGGGGGAGATGAAGTTAGGAGACAGACAGATAGTAAACTCAGATAAGTGATGCACACCTGAATCCACAGCAAGCACCTCTCGTTCCATGGCTTCAAGTTTCACAAGGGGTGAAATAAAAAACTGAGAAAATCTGATAAAGAAAAAAGATCAACATAAGTCTCTCAGCACTGCCATAATTTAGGAAATCAGTACCAAAACAACAACCAAATTATTGCTCCGTTAAAAATCTCCACTGCAAAAACCTGCATGCCAAACAATGGAAAGGGAAGAGAAAAAATTAATTCAATAACTAAAGTTTTGTCGGTTAAAGTTTCAGCATTTACCTTCTTAAAGCACCCTTGAGAAATTCTCTTTCAACTTCAAAATGGTAGCAGCTATGCTCTGCTTCTGTATATGCATTTGATGACCCTCCATGTTTGGATAAGTAACTATCATACTACCAAAAGAAAAGAGTCAAAGTGGTAGGCCAAACAACAATTACATCACCAAACAAAAATCAACGTACTGCTTAGGTTAACAATTGTTGAAGCAAGCAAAAAATTTGATGGATTAAATGCAGCCATTTCATGTTCAACTAAATAATAAAAAAAAAAAACAGAGAATGTAAGGCAAAATTGAGAAGACATGGTACAGATGGATAAGCATAAGTAAAATAGTCCTGCCAGTGGAACCCGCTGCCATTTCACTTCAGTTGGGTTTCATTGTTACGGGGCATCAAAAGATTAAAATCATGCATAGAATATTATCAGAACAGTCACTAGAATTTTTACTGAAAACTCGTTGATCTTCAACCTTTTTTGGTCAAGGCAATGTGTAATTGGGAACATCATTTCTAAATCCAATGGGCTACCAACAAGAATGACAAGGCATCTAAAATGGCAATAGGAGAGAATACGGATGAACAGACCTCGTTTTCATCTGGAAATTCGGTACTTCCCATGAACAGCATATGTTCTACAAGGAAATAAAGCTTCATGAATATTATGCACTAGGCAGAAACAAGTATGTCCCTCTGAGCGACCAAAATGGAAAGAGAAGAAAAGTGAAAGTAGTGAAACCTAGAAAATGAGCAAGACCCTGCGCCTCGGGAGGGTCAGATAAGCTGCCAAATCCTACACACATTGCCGCCGCTGCCTGCAACCAAATTCAAAATCAATCTCATTTCCGGTCCGGTCAATCATTATGAGGAGGTGAAAAAAGAGCAGAGCAGAAGAAAAACCTTTTTAGTCTGAGAGGACTTGTCTTCAATCTGTTTCTCCTCGTCGTCGTCTTCTTCATCTTCATCTTCATCTTCGTCTTCTTCATCTTCATCTTCATCTTCGTCGTCTTCATCTTCTTCAGCTTCAGGCTCACTCTCAACTGGCAATTGGGAATCTTGAGGAAGCCCGTCAGGGTAAATCTGGGGATCGTGAACAAGCAATGCAACGAGGCCATTGTGGAGCTCGATTACTCTGTATAGTCGCCGATCGTTTGGAGGCTTAATCACCACGCTGTCTGATGAGTATTTCCATCCGCCCGCAACCATTTTAAATTTTCTTGTTTGAAATTTGGTTGGATTTCTAGTTGATCAAAGTTTTTCAATTCTATATTTCTAGTGTGCCAAAGCCAAAGCCGAAGCCGAACCCAAACCCAAACCCAAACCCAAAACTATGGCGGTCGCCCTCCAGTCTCTAGTCTTAGGTCTCCCTCTATTGAAACGCAAACGAAAAAAAATGCTGATTTTTGAAACAGATTGTCTAATGTCCATTGTACTTAAGCTTATAGACGGTAAAGGCCTGTCCATGGTCCTACAGCCCAAAGCTACAAGTCCAACCATCACAACATCAACACTTAATACTTTTTTTTCTATCTAGTTTTATATATTTTGTTAAGAAGGATCATATTTTAATTAATAAGTCAAATACAAATATCAACACTCATTTGTTGTTATTTATGTTCCAAATTCAAATCATCGTTTGCGTATGATGATTGGAGTGCGAGACCATTTTGGATGCTCTCACTTGTGATTCTCAGCTAATCTAATCTAATCATCAAATGCAAAGAAAAATCTTCTGATACCAACAATCCTGTTTATGGAAAATCTTCCTCCCCAACAACCAGAAACTTCCCCGGCCCAGCCCATGCACTCTATCAGAAGGCTAGAGCCAGCCCCTTTCGTGGATCGCATGACAAATTAAGCGGCAAAAACATGCCAAAGGTGGGATTGATGCTGTTGCTTGTTTCCATGTTGGTGGCTGCTGTCCCTCGTCATGTCAATGCAGCCATAACATGCGAAGAGGTGACCTACTATCTTATTCCATGCATTAGCTATGGCATCTTCGGAGGGACAGTGACTCCAAGTTACTGCACAGGTATCAAGACCCTGGACGCAGCTGCCAAAACCACGGAAGATCGCAGGGAGAAATGCAACTGCGTTAAGGAAGGTGCTGCCAGAATCCCTGGACTCAACTACACCCGTGTTAATGAGATCCCAGGATTATTAGGAACTACTTGTCCTTACAAGGTCACCTCTGATGTGGATTGCTCAAAGTATGTAGCCTTTCCTTCTCTTCTTGATGTAGTATTGAATTGTTGAATGACTTTCTCTACTAAATGCATGACCTTTCGCTGCTGCAGGGTGAACTGATCAACTGAGCCTGCAAGAGCTACCAAGGGTGTTCTGTTTTTTATGATGAAGGAGAAGTTTCTTGTACCTAAAGTAATTTCAGTGTGTGAAATTTAGCAAATAAGATCATGTTT